ATTCATTCATTCATTCATTCATTTATTCATTCATTCATTCATTCATTCATTCATTCATTTAGAGAATTTATATGGCTACCCATCTAATATGTATAGCCCTGGGCAACTAACAACAGTCCATAAGAAATATAATAAAACCTTTATCAACAAAATGGGAAACAAAGTTAAAATCATCATCACAACAACCAAGGCGCCATCACAGTCCCACAACCCAAACCACACCGATATTGGGCTAGTAACATCCTGGCCCAGGAGCTGGGGAAGAGCCAGGTCTTCACTGCCTTCTGGAAAGACTGGAAGGTTGGTGTGTTCCAGATCTTGGGGGAGTGTCTTTCACAGGCTGGTGCCACAACAGAGAAGGCATGTTGCCTAGTTCCCACCAGATGTCATTGTTTAATAGAGGGGATCTGGTGTGTAACCATCTGTCAGACTTGATGGAATCGGTAGAAACCCCTGGAGGGAGACATCTCTCCAGGTAAACTGTGCCATACAATGCTTTAAAAATGATAACCAGCATCTTGAATTCACCCACAAGCATATTGGGACCAGTGCAGCTTGTAAAATAGCAGTGTAACACATCAAACCTCGATGCACTCAAAACCGTACATGCTGTTTATTGATGTCTCTGTGTGTGTATGTTTGTGTGTGAGTGTGTGTATGTATATATATATATAATCCCTTCTCACCCCTATGGGTGGTAGGTGTCTACCTCAATCTCAGTTCCTCTACCAGAGGCCTGGGAGTTTGAGGGTTCTGTGCAGTATCTTAGCTGTGCCTAGCACTACAGTCTTCTGGAAAGAGAGCCCTGATGTTCTTCTTGGGATCTGTTGGAGCCAGTCTTCCAACCTAGGAGTCACAGCCCCAAGTGCTCCTGCCACCACTGGGACCACTTTGGCCTTTACTTTCCACATCCTCTCTAGTTCTTCCTTCAGGCTCTGGTCCTTCTAAAGCTTCTCATACTCCACTTTCCTGATATTGCTGTCATTTGTCACTGCTACATCTATCACCACCACTGTCTTCTGGTCCTTGCCTACTACCACAATGCCTGGTTGATTGGCCAGTACCTGGATCTGGAAGTCCCACAGGATGTTAGGCCTGTTATTCTCCATGGGTTTCTGTGGAATCTCCCATCTGGACTTGGCAGGGG